CTTTGAATTCAAAACACATGCAGCCATATTTCAAATGTTCTCTGAAATGCATCAACGCAAATTACGTACTGGTTCATGAAATTATTTGAACATATATTCACCATAAAATATGGAAATAGGGTGTTTTTCTATAAATCTTGTATATACCCTCATAGAAAACAAGGCATCCACTAATCAGTCAATATATGCTTCCAATATGTATAATGCTCTATCCTACATAGTATATAGAACAGATCAAAGCACCAATTATAAGCCATGTGCTACAGTATATCATGGAACTTGAAGTTCAAACTATACTCAGGCAAAAATCAATCTATATTACACACCCTTTTGTGTTGTCTTTCTTCAAATTTTTATAAACCTGAACTTTGGTTCTAAAATATTAATCACACTCTACAAAACACAGTGCAAATAAACATGAAAGAAATAAAAGATAGAATACAGTCTGAACAGAATGTTTCAGAAATTAAGACAGAGAAAATGAACACAATTAAATGTGATTATGTAATGTGAAAACTCAGTACACTTGATCAAGAACAAAGAGAAAAATTTAAAGTTTATATAATATCATGAAAGAAAATAATATACTAGTATAGTTTTGTAGAAAAACTTTCATATGAAAATATAAGTAATTTATCAGAAATGGATGCCTGGAAATGTATAAAATCAGAGGAAAACTTAGCAAAACACTGCTGAGAGAAAATTTTAAAATCTCCACAGTATCATTTCTAGAGTCTGTAGTGTAATATTACACTCAAAGGTTTTGGGGATGATATTACCAGTGAAAATAACAAAAATTCAAAAATATTAATAATGACTTGATTCCTTCATAAAAGGAAAAGAGGGAAATCAATTCATTTTAACGAAGGAAATGACTGATGTTACTCAGAGCTGAAAATACACTTAGAAGAAACAAATGGAATGGTCATTTTCTTTTATATGTCAAATTCACATGTTCTATTCAAGGACAGTATACCATGAGCAAAATCAGTGTACAAAATACAATTAAATGACGTAGACACTGGCAAAAGAAAAAAAAAAACATTACCAAATGGAGACAATATAATAAATTTGTACGTCACCGTGATTCCAAAGACACAACAAGAGACATGGGGTAAGGGCTCTAACTGCCCCCAGAAATGGTGCTTGTAGTTTCTTGACACACACTTTAGTGTTTTTCGTCCATTTTTGAATTCAACAATGAGATAGCAATCTTTCTGTGTTATGCATTTGGCAAATATTACACTCTAGAGCATGGTCAATGCTATAAAGAAAGATTAGATTGATAGATAGATAGATAGATAGATAGATAGATAGATAGATAGATAGAGATATATATGATAAACATGAATGATAGAATTTTTCAGTGATAGAGCCTGGAGAGATAGTTCAATTATCTAAGTGCTTGTGGGGTTAGCGCAGTGTCGAGTTCAATCCCAGGTACCTGAAAAACAAAAACAAAAACAAAAGGAAAAGAAAAAAATAATTTTTCAGTGATATTGCTTGTAAGTATAAAATCCATGTGCATGAATAAAATTATACTATGTTTCCACTTAAGGAATAGAGTCATAAAGCACTCATAGATAAAATTTCATTTTTGTCTTTTAAAGAGTACACAAAACAGTAAAAGGGAAAGAAAAAACATTATAAATGATACAGACTTTCACAAAACAAAAGAGTAATAACTTGACAAAGTTATTTTATTACATAATATTGAATTCAAATGAGTTGTTTAGATAACAAGATACAAACTGAAATTTTAGGAGGCAAGATAATAAAGAAACCATTTGAGCATTTATTGTTCTTTGAGATTGACCAACAAATATCAGGACTAAAATTACCCAAGCTATCATAGACATTTCCTTGTTTCTTTAGTGCCTTTCCTTATGGCAATTTTCCTTCCCATAGAATATATTCTCTCCCTTTCACAGTATTTATTGTACCTTTCATGTTTTATTTACACTTTTAGATTTTTCCACTAGTGAGACAATATGATGTTAGCACACGTGTGTCTGATATATCTCACCTACTGATAAGGTTTCTAGTAGTATAAACTTAGCATATCTGTTTACCACATAGATAAGATTTTCAAACTTCCATTTTCACGCATTTAAAATCATTAAATGTATAAAGATAAGTCTTGTAATTATTTGAAAGATACCAATATCCAAGTAGTAAAATACCCCTTTCACAGTATAACTTAATTGCACATAGCAAGTTCTAACATGGAGAGTCTCAATACTAGAAATACATTACAATCAATATGATTCTTCATATGTGTTTCCTTCTGGCTTTGAAAATAATAATGGTTTCCTAAAATAAGGATATTCATTCAATGTCTGGGGAATTGTTTATACAAATTTATATTTAAATCAAATAATTAAAGCATATGAATTAAGGAATTAACCTAGATCCTTTCTCTTACTTTGTAAAACTAAAGAGATTTTAGAGATACCAGATTCATTAGGGAATTAAATAACATATATTTAGTATTTCTTAGGACTTAGTCTCTGTGTGGATTTTCTTATATAGCACCTGGAAGGAAATGAATCAGTGAGGTGTGACAATGCATGCCTAAATTTCAAGCCTCTAAGAAGCAGAGAAATGAGGATTTTCTCTTGGAACAAAGCATTGAAAAAATAGTGATTCAGAGAGATCTGTTCTCAAAATAAAAAATTTTAACAAGGTGGTAAATATATCTTAGTGCCAACTTTGAGTTCAATCACACAGGCTAAAAAGGAAAGAGAAAAAAGGAAGAAAACAAGAATAATATACACATTGACTATTTAGTTCAAGTCCCATGAGTTCCAAGGATGGCGATGTGAAAATAGTAATAATCCAACTCAAATGACAATTTTCATTTTTGCTAGATGTGGAACAGTGTGCAAAGTGTCCAGATCATCAATATGCCAACATTCAGAGAAATTATTGCCTGGAAAAAACTGTGACTTTTCTGGCTTATGAAGAACCCTTGGGGAAAGCTCTAGCTGGTGCAGCACTGAGTCTCTCTGTTCTATCAGCTGCTCTCCTTGGGCTCTTTGTGAAGCACAGAGACACTCCCATCGTCAAGGCCAACAATAGGGCTCTCAGCTACACCCTGCTCATCTCCCACACCTGCTGTTTCCTCTGCTCCTTGCTCTTCATTGGTCGTCCCAACACAGCCTCCTGCATCCTCCAGCAGACCACATTTGCAGTTGTGTTCACTGTGGCTGTTTCCACTGTGTTGGCCAAAACCATTACTGTGGTGCTGGCCTTTAAGGCCACTGCTCCAGGCAGAAGGATGAGGCAGTTGCTGGAGTCAGGGGCACCAAACTCCATCATCCCCATCTGCACCCTCTTCCAACTCACTCTCTGTGCAGTCTGGATGGGGACAAATCCACCCTACATTGAAACTGATGCTCACACTGAACACGGCCACATCATCATTATTTGCAACAAGGGCTCCCTCACCGCCTTCTACTGTGTCCTGGGATACCTGGGCTCCCTGGCGCTGGTGAGCTTCACTGTGGCATTCCTGGCCAGGAACCTGCCTGACACCTTCAATGAAGCCAAGTTCCTGACGTTCAGCATGCTGGTGTTCTGCAGTGTGTGGGTCACCTTCCTGCCCGTGTACCACAGCAGCAAGGGGAAGGCCATGGTGGCCATGGAGGTCTTTTCCATCTTGGCCTCCAGTTCAGGGCTTCTAGGTTGCATCTTTGTCCCCAAGTGCTACATTATTTTGTTAAGGCCAGAGAACAATTCTCTTCCTGACTTGAAAGGCAGAACACATTCTGGAAGAGAAAAAGCTTTCTTAAAGTAAAATGTTATGATTTCACTAAAAGTTATTTACTACCTTATGCAATCGCAAGCTACTTTCCAGGCTTATGTTGATATATTTTGGGATTTTCTACACTAAGGAAAGCACTGTTATTTCTTTCCTTAGCAGAATTACACGTGTAATTGTAACCATCACATTCTTCGATTGTAATTTTATTCTAGAATTTTGTTCCATTGTGTCTACAATGAATTTTATTAATGCTCGCAGTTGGTTATACTATTACCATTTATTTTGTTTCCCCTTGAAGTTTTCAAACCTGTTATGAATTTGAACACATAATTTTATGGGCCTGAATGTCCTTAACCACTTAAGCATTTCTCTGAAACAGGTGTTACAGAAAGCACACTTTCTATGTCATAAGTACTTTTCATTTAAGATCGCAAGATGCTATGTTTCTATTTTAACACCCAATTGAATTTGTGAGTCTTTATTAGTGAATTTCCCTATATATAATTGTGCCAATGTTTTCATGTAACCTTGTTTAATAATCCTTTGTTTACATTGGTAGATTATGACCTGAGTAGAGACTGCTTAATGGCCCTGATTCAATATGCCTGAATCCCAAAACCACAGCTTATCTTTCTAATACCCACTTTCTCCTTCTTATCCACTCCAGCCCTGGATACAACTTCCTGTTTCCTTCCTTAGCCTGCAGTCAGGTCCTTTTGTGTCACTGAACCTGCCCCTCAAACTCTGCCCCTATGAAATGTCCATAAAGTCCCAGGCTCCTGTCTCATGTCAGAGGATCTTTGCTTCTCTCTGCTGTCAATCCTCTCCATGCTGTTCTCAAAGGCAGTAGAATCTTTTTCTATCCTTTTCTGTTACTCCTCTGCATCTCCACTGAGAAATGTAACATGTTGATGCTGTGACTCACATCAGTGAGCAACATAGATCCTGCTGGTAGGGGGAGGCAGGCTTTCCCTCCCCCAGTCTTTGGGATCCCTAAAGCCACTCCTGTTCTTCCTGCCATTAGCCATTGCTACCCTACACCCAGTACTCATCAGGCTCAAATCATGAGTGAGCCATTTCTCAAAATGGGAGTTTCCTATCTCAAATCCATGTGTCCATGTTGAGACATCAACTCCATGACCCTGGGATAAAAAACCTGCCCTCACATCCCTTGGGTGAGGTTATTGCCCTTGGTCCCCAAGGCATGACAGTTACTTTCTTATCTTTGGGGAACTCTCTCTGATTTCTAAAGATGACTGAGAATACAGGTGTGGGATTTGCTCTCTCCTGCTTCATGCTCTTAGGAGAAGAGGACGATCTCTTCTAGGGTGTGAAGTTGTTGGTCCACTGCCAATGAAGTCATCATTGCCGTCACACCAAAGTCAAGACAGTCCTTCAAAAGATGTCCTCATGATACTTGGGTAGGGTTGCCTCCCAGAGACTCTGAGCTAAAATTAATCTTTTTCTGCCAAATGTCTCGGCTGCAATATAAACTCAACACTGACAGGCTATGACCTGAATGGAAAGGGTATATCTCCCTAAAACTTCTGTTATCTCCCTGGCATGTGGCCAGAATTCCCCTTAAAAATCCTTTATTGTCACCGTACATCCACCTGGTAAATACCACATTTTTCAATTGGAATTTTATTCTAGACTTTTGTTCCATTGGTTCTTATTATTTATCCTCACTGTTCATTATTTTACTACATTTTCTTTTCTCTGTAGGGTTTGAGCGTCAAGATCTGTCCTTTTAACCTTGGCATAAATGTTAGGGCCAAATCAGAATATAAAATAGGAATTAATAACAATTGTTCATTCAGGAAAATCTGACTTTACGTTAGTACACTTTGTTGGGACCAATACGCTTATTTAATAAACTTTTGGGCCAGCGAGACCACTCAAATAAATTTTGAATAGATTAGAATCCCTGGTGCCACATGCCAAGCTGGGCCCCCTCCCAGGTGCACTGAGCCAGCCACCGAGTCCGAGCATGATGGTGTACATCTGTAATCCCAGCACTGAGGTGACTGAAATCAGAAGGATCATTATGAGTCAAGGCTGTGTAGCAAGACCCTGTTCCAAATATATTAAACAATAAAAGAAAAATAAATTATTAAAATTTTGTCTGTGTTTCAAGCATCTAGAATTATAAAATGTCATGAGGTACCCTATGTATTTTTCTCCAAAATCAAAACAGCCTCCTCCCTGGCCTCAAACCCTTGTACTCAACACACTTTCTGACACTCTCTATTCCTCCCTCTAATCTGTTCATCTAATTCATCCACCAGGTAGCCTTTTTTCTTCCTGAAGATACAGTTTTTTAATATATTAATGCCTTAAAAATGCAGTGTTCCACAATATAATACTGACAATGATAGTTTCTTCCAGATTTAAACATATGCCCTTCTCTTATGCTCCAGATCTTTGTAATAAGGAGTACATGACAAGCCACCATGAGATCATCAGGCAAATGATAATTTTCCAGCAAAAATATGCGACATGTATGCTGGGTAGGCACCATTATATTTAGAGATGCCGAGACAAAATGAGGATTTCATTGTCACTTTTATACTACCTCTAGTAGGTATTACTACTGATGTCTAATTTTCTTGGTAACACTGTAACTCTTGTCTGTTAACTTTCAACACGGATTTAAACATTACAATATCTATGGTTGATTAGAAATAACAGCTCTCTGGTTTTTTTTTTCTTTTCAAAGTTTTATTGATAAGCATATAGCAATGAGACAGTTTCAAATCAAATCGAAAGTACAGTTTCAACAAATAAT